GGAGGAGGCCCCGCTTTACAGCGGCGGTCAGTGGGGGGAGGAGGAGGGGGCATGCTTTACAGCGGCTGTCAGTGGGGGGTAGAATGCACCTTCCACATAGCTAAAAAGATTAGCGGTGTCAGTGGTTAACCATTGGAGAAAGTTAATAGCTCAAGGAACCCCTAGCTCCCTCTGGATGAACCCTGGCTGCTTTAGACTATGCTGACCGGAAATTAGGTCACATCCCCCATCCCCTCCGATCACAGAATGCCTTGCATTCTCACAATATACAAAGGCATTCTGTGAATAGTGCAGTAGTGAGGAGGGGCGGGGGATGTGACCAGAGCTTACTGAACAAGTCTTATCCCTCACTGCCTAGAAGCTCGGCGCGGTGTAGGAAATTGCGTGTTGCCAGGTAAGATTTTTTTTATATTTCACAGTCCTCCAAACATAACATACAGCTTTGTAATGATCATTTACACCCCCCAGTGCGATGTGTATAGGATGAGGTTTCCTGGAGTTTGCCTTGAATATCTGGCTGTTGTCTGAACACTGTGTTCTCACTGACACAAGCAGTGATGGCAATTTGTTTCTTTCTCAAAGTGGAGTGTTCCATTAGGAACTACAAAAACGAAGCAGAACCGTTACTATCTCCCCCGTCTGTTCTGAATAAGCTGAGCCTACGTTTGGCAGGAAAGCAAAGTAAAGAAATACAAAATGTCATTGTTTCAGGTACATCCCAGTATGTGGGCTGTTGAAGCTTTGCTAGAAAAGGATGACTTAATTGTTGAGTGTTTTCCATAGATCCCCATGAAACAGCCGACTTTTCCATCAGGCCACAGTAAATGCAGCCACTAGAGGGCACACTTCTATCACACAATGCCCATCTATGCCATCTAGCAGTGGGCAAAGCATGAAGAGTTTAGAGTTATTATTCTGCAGTCTGTGTACCTCAGTGACTCTACTGTACCAACTTTCCATACAAAAGCCAATAACCCGGCTAATAACCAGTTTTAATTCTTGGGATCAATGGCTGTAAAGCTGCATACGTGGCACTCACCTTCATCCTGTCATATTTGTCATCAACGTCTTGCAACCAGGACAGGAACTGCCGGGCATTAAACCGATCTCTGACGGATTTATTTTCATCTCCCTGCACAGAACAAAAATAGGAATGGTGAAGACAAGCTGGCAAGGATTCTGGTTTTCAGGGTTCCTTTGAGCGGAGGTATGCAGGTGCTACGAGGACAACAGCCTGACAGCCTGTGTTCTGGATGTGCAGTGTTCAAGACCTTACGTGTGTGTGTGCTTTCACACTGCGTGTATGGTAGTACACCACCACCACATTATGCTTCAAGTAGTAAAATGTGACGAGCTCATCTGAATTTGTCCTTTTCAAACATCTATACAAGTAACAACAAACTCTTCTACAACCCAACTTCCTCACATTCAGAGGGAGGCAGGGAGTATACGAAGAATGAAGAACAGGCAAGAAAAGGGTACGTGTCAATACTAAAGAAATCCAGGAAACTTGGGATGCACCGATACTAGTATCAGTACCAATACTGAGTATTTGGGCAAGTACTCTTACTCACCCAAATGCTCCAATACTTGCCCCGATAGCGGATCTCCCTCTGACCGGCAGGGCCGCGAGGTAGCATGGAGACGGCTTCCTGATTGGCTAGGAAGCCGGATTCACTTATTGCTAGGCAGCCTGGCTAGCTGACCAATCAGGAAGCCGGATGGCACATCATGACCCACCTCCCAGCTTCCTGATTGGTCAGAAAGCCAGGCTGCCAAGCAACAAGTGAAGCAGGCTTCCTAGCCAATCAGGAAGCTGGGAGGTGGTTCATGACGGGCCAACCGACTTCTTGATTAGTCAGGAAGCCAGGCTTACTCAAAGTTTCGTAAGTGAAGTGAAGCTTGTGTTCCTTCGATAGAACACAAGCTTCCCAGGCAATTAGGAAGCCGGTGGCAGGACCTGCCGCCCCGCTTCCTGACAATAGGGGCCGATGGATGCAGTCATCAGTATTGGCAAGTACAAAGGGAAGAAAGAAAAGAAGATTGGTACTGGATACCGAAAAACATGTCTCGGTGCATCCCTACAGGAAACCATTCTCTATGTATTCCGGGACATCTTCAATCACAACAAAACTTTCCACATACGCTTCAAAAAAATCCAAGCCTAAAGTTCCACCCCAGCACGCACCTGATTTTCCAGAGGCATGTTATACACCTCCGAGTCCAGCAGCATGGTGCAGGCACTAAAAGGCACAGCCTGGTTGGCAATTGTCCTGGCCGCTCTGCAATGAACTCTGAGGTTCTCCTGTTCACAAGACACGATGAGTTTCTCCTACAGTGAGAGACCAGAGAATCAGATCAGCTTCAAGCTCACATCAAACAAGGGAATAAAGACTGCGAACCTCTCTAGGTGTGATCATATACAGCCTCGCAGATACATAAACATGGGGCCAATTGTGGCTGGGAGAGCCCAGACAGCAGATGGTCGGCTGGGTTAGGGGCCTCCAAACCACATGGCTGTCACATCAGACAACAGGACTCCTATTTCTCTGGCCAATTGTGTACTTACTCTTTCAATGCTGTGTTGCAGGCGAAGCTTCCCCCTCACTGCTTCCTGTTGCCGGAATAATTCTTTTAGTGGCTCCGATAATGATGGCGGTGGTGCAATCTGCAGGAAGAAGACACTTTAAGCACCAACATGAATAATGAGAATGTCTGATTGAGACAACTGCAAATGTGTACAGTACAGCAACACAAACTGTGTGTGTGTGTGGGGGGAAGGATTGAGAACAAGCTGCCAATGCACAAACCCCCCCCAAAACCACACATTACCTTTTTTAGGGCATTTTACCATAAGGTATATGCATTGTGCTACACTTACTGGCTACTACAGTACAGTGCGCTGGGGTGCCATCCACAATCAATCAATCAATCAGTGGTACTGTGCTGATGGGTGCAGCGCTGTACAGTGCAGAAGAATCCCTTACAGATCATTAGAGAACTATGGGGTCAGTGTTTTTCCCCATAGTTCTCATTAGGGTAACGGGAGGACACAAACTAGCGTCCTCCCGTTACCCTAAGATCAGTATACCGCAAGCTACAGCTCTCCGGTATACTGAGACGCCGCAGCCGGGGACGGATCCCGACTTTACTGTTGAGATCCACCCAACTGCGTGATTGACAGCTGGCTCTGCCTATCTAGAAGCAGAGCCAGCTGTACCAGCCCCCTCCCCGTTCCGCCAGTCGTCGCTGGAGTATCGGACAGGGGAAGGGGGGGAATCCTTGCAGGGAGCTGTGAGTGACGGTCACGGCTCTCTGCATGGATAGATCGAGGAGTGAGCGAGCGACGGTATGTGTTTGCTCACTTCTCGATCTACTGAGCCGACCCGTGACAGTTTGATTGTCACGGTTGGCTCAGATTATAAGGCTGAGTGAAAATCACTCGCCTCATATTTCTCCTTTAAGTCATGGGAAATAAATGATGGTCTGTTTTCAGGAGAATGCCCATGTACTGCTGGCATTAGCCACCCTTTCCACACAGAAACCATCCGATTTTAGTTGGCTACATGGGTAAATTACAGTAAATTTCTACCAGCATTGACTTCTCCCTGCTACTTGGATGGGTGGCCACTAAAGATAAAGACTTTACCCAAAATCTTTCCCCATATTGATCTTTATGGCACTTGCTGGGGCCTTAAAATGAATATAGCTAAAAAAGTGAATTGATGCCCTTGGCTCATCCCCCTAACCGGTTTAACTCCCACTTGGCCTGCAAACTACGGCATTATCAAAACGAAATCCCTCCAATTCCTGGGGATTCAAATCCTACGTAATGCTTCTGACCTATACAGCCCAGATTATACCCCCATCATTCCAGGGATCACGAATGAACTGCAGAAATGGCAGGATTTGCCTCTTCCCTTGCTAGGCCGTTGTCATTTGCTATGATTAGCTTCACCCGCCTCCTCTACCCCATGCAAACTATCCCTTTACTCAAACATAAAAGACATTCAAACTTTGAATAGAGCCTTCCCTAGATTTATTTTGCAGGGTAAAAATAAAACCAGAAAAGCATTCTCCAAAATGCAAAAACCTACGAGACATCTGGGAGCTAACCTTCCCAACATCAGATTTTACAATCCGGCTAGTCTTTTTCGCCATGTCCGAGATTGGGTGCACGATACCCATACCTCCTCCTTCACCAACACTTCGATGGAAAGCTCCCTGGTATTTCACACCCCCCTTCCCCTTTCCATTAAGAGTAATATCATATTGTGGGATACTATGATTGCTTGGAGAGAGATCCGGAAAATATACCACCTCCTGGCATGGTCTCCCCCTTGATGTCTATTGTCGCCAACCCAAGTTTCCCCATCGGGAAGTGACTCTTACCTTCACAGCATGGGCACTTAGAGGCATTCGATCCATTTCTGATCTATTGACACCTCAGGGCCGTGGCAAAACATTCCAAGATCTGCAATCCACATATCAAATCTCACTACATGACTTCCTACAATATGCTCAAATCTCCCATTTCATATCCCATAATCTATCTCTTACCCTGGAATGAGCATGACCTTACCCCTTCTCGTCGCCTCCTGTCCTCCCCCACACAAAAGGTTTCCCTGTCATAGCTTTCCAAATCCATGTATTCCTTTTCCTCTACCTCTCCTCCCTATGTACATAAATGGGCTGCCTTCCTGGGACAATCTCCTGAAGTCACACACGCTATCATAACGCAGGGCTGGAAAGGGGTACACTCCGCCATTATTAGTGAATCATGGAGGGAGGTACAATTCAAATTGATTCACAGAGCGTACTGTGCGTTCATTGTTGTCTGAAAAAAACACCTCGCTCGGATTGGTTGACGTCCTGCCCAAAATGCCACCTCTCCCTGTCCGACTTCACACATCTGATTTTTGTCTGGTTTTGTCCTCATATCCTGGAAATCTACCGTTTCATATATGAATAGACAATCTGGCGGTTCTAGAACCCTTTCACTGGCTGTGTGTCTTTTTCATGCCCCGACACCCACCCTCGCCTCTCCGCCATCTCATCTATCCTGATGGGAACATTTATGTATTCTGACTGCAAAAAGACATCTTGACCAATTGGATATCCGCCGAGACCAAAATGTAATCAATCCCGCACAGAGTTATTCTTCCACACGACAAATACTTTTTTTGACCTCCGAATTGCCCTTGAATAAACTACAAGATGTTATGACCATTTTCCAGCACTGCACAGTGTACCTCACGGAAAAGCTTTGTGGCTCCATGGGAGCCCTAGACGTCCTCTAACATCCCCCCCACCTCACTTTAGCTCCATCACAAATCACTTATCCCATGATCCCCAATACCTTTCCTGGGTAGATCCACCAATACAACATCACATTCCTAGCCGCTTACTTGCCAATTTGTTATAAACCATCAATGACTCTACCGTGCCACCAAGTCCCACCCCCAATGCTTCCATGCCCCTCCTTTAGCATGACATCACACCATCACCATTTTGATAATTCGTTCTATTAATCAGATGCTTTGCAGATCAACTTTGCTGTTTATTATTCTATATCATATGCACCTTCTGGCTGATGTAAGTGCAAAGCTGTAACCCCATTTATGATCAGACTATACTTTGTATCCCTGGGTGATACATGACGTTTGTACGGTTTTCTTTCTTGTTACAATAAAAAAATGTATATGCTAAAAAAGAAAAAATACAAGAGACTTAAGTAGGGTTATACACTATGAACCTTGGCTGGGTTCTTGACGAAACGTCCAAAATTCACATAGTGGGTGCCACTGTCGGCACCCTTCCGGCCGGCATTCCTCGATCAGAAGATTGATGGAGCTGGTTGGAAAATCTTCGGCTGAACGATATCGGCTACAAGCACCATTTGGGCATTCTTCAGAATACGATAGAAACAGAGGGTGGGGGGATTTCTTCAACCATGCTGTTAAGCGGGGATGGAGGAATCTTATATTTTCTTTGCTCAGCCCACAGGTTGAACAGCATTTACAGTCTATTCCCAACTTCACACTACAGGAGACATTTTTACTAGCCTAATTCTGCTGCTTAAATCCCTTGTGGTTAATCACTAGCCAAGCGGCTCCCTATGGAGTAAGCTACACAAGTAGCATGTAGTAGCACCTTGTAGTGATCATTCTCATACTAGTGGAGCTTTGTGTGATTATGCCGGATTGACGGCTACCACATGCTACTCCATATCCTACAAGCAGCGAGTAACCACTAGTGATTTCACTAACAGGATTCAGCTACTAAACGCCTGTACAGTTCAAGCCTATTCAGTCGACTACCAGAGGCCACATATCAGAAGGGATACAAATCATAGTATAAGTCCGGGCATAACTATTCTTAACCCTTGCAGTGGGGCTGCCCCTACACTGAAAGGGTTAAGTGCTCGTTTTCATGTAGGGAAGAAAATACAAAAAGTTATACCTGAACCTTGCAGCCGGCTGGCTATTGGACCTGCCGCCTGGCTCCAGCAGTTTAAGGTTCATCGAGTCATCATGTGCAATACAATTGTATTGAAACATGGACGCTGAGGGACATTTCATCACTGAAGCGGAGGGAGAGACAGGCTGAAGGGACCGGTCTAGGAGCAAACTGGCTGCAAGGTTCAGGTGAATATATCTTTATTTTCATCCCTAGACAAAAAAACTAGCATTTAACCCTTGCAGTGTGGGGTAGCCCAAGTTCTTTAAGGGGCAAGATGAGACCGTGTCACATTGCTGGATCTACACAAAGCTGCAAAAATACACATTAAAGCCACTGAAATGTAAAACAAGAAAAAAAGCTGGACACAATATGGAAAAATGTAATTAAAAAAGGAAACCCTGCCACTCCACCAAGATCCAGCATCCCCTGAATGGCGCACTCACCACTGGAATGTGAAGCTTGCTCAGAGGTTTGCCATCCAATAAATAAGAGCCAGTGTAAGTCACATATTCAGCATAGCATTGAGGGGCTTGAGGGGTGATGTAGCACAAGATTTTCCTCTTCTCTTCAATTTTTTTCCTAATCTGTAAGTATTCAAAGTAAGGATTTGACCTGTCGCTGTGATATGGCTCAATGTCATCCAACTTGATGGCATCGACGATGGCCGCCAGGGTCTGCTGGATCATTTCGCGCGTCTGCTGACTGGTGGTGATTATCTGCTGTTGGAGTTGATTGGGCTTCTGCAACTTCCTCTTGCGCGGGTGCTGCGTTTGGGAATCTTCCTCCTCGGAGACTTTACTTTTTCCACGGGTTGATGGTGTGTTTGTTACCGGCTGTTCCTTCTCCGGCGTGGAAGTGTTTTGCTTATTCTGATTGGCAAGCATTTGCGCCCTGTTTCGAGTCATCCGTAGTGGAATCTCTTCTACTTTGGGAGGTTTTGGAACATCGACTGTTTTTGGCATTTGCTCTGGAACTTCTACTGGAGGGTTGACTGGAGGAGCTTCAACTTTTACGACAGGTTCACGATCGACGTTTTCCACTGGTGTACTGTCAGTTACTTTAATATCCGCGTCAACATTCTTCTGCAAAACTGGTGTGCATGTGTCTGCAGAAGAACTCAGGCTGGACTGTACTTTACTCTCTACTTCTTGAAGAGTCTCCAGTTGTACATAGGGTATTGCAAAGCAAGGTGGATCAAACGCTGGCTTTGTATCATGGGATAATTTTGCAGTTTCTATTGTAGGTTCCACTACGTTGTCATCTTTCTGTTCCTGAACTTCATGCGATGGTTCCTCCATTTCCACAGTATTTGTCTCTTTAGGAGACACTGGCTCTGGGCGAGGCATTTCACCGTGAGGCATTTCACCGCGAGGCATTTCACCGCGAGGCATTTCACCGCGAGGCATTTCACCGCGAGGCATTTCACCGCGAGGCATTTCACCGCGAGGCATTTCACCGCGAGGCATTTCACCGCGAGGCATTTCACCGCGAGGCATTTCACCGCGAGGCATTTCACCGCGAGGCATTTCAATGCTGTCCTCACCATTGGACACATCAAGGGGAACACAAGGACTGCTTGCAATGATACTTGGCTGTCCACAAATCTCCGGGTCATTTTCTTCTTTGACAGGAATGGGAAGGTCAGGCAGGGAAAATGGTCCAAGATCCAAATCATCCACAGCTGAAGAAAATGGGTCCGACCATGGTTCTGAATCTTGAGCAGGTGGTTGAACATCACTGGGCTCCACATAACTTTCTTTATCTGGAGCCAATGTGTCTTCAAGAGGCTCTGTATTTAGTTGCGACTCAGACGGCAAAGGCTGCTGTTCATCTGAGAGGGCATCACAGTTATTCAAGAAATTGGTAAGGGGCGTTGGAGATGCATACGCACCCGGATCTTCTGGCTGAGGAATATCCTCTTCTGCATCTTGCCTATCCTCTTTCAGTTCATATGGGGCTGGTTCAGACATGGGGTAGGAAATGGGAGAAACTGGAAAAGGTGAATCAGAAGAAATAAATGGAACTGAAGCATTAATAGATTTGTCGGGTGAGCAAAAACTTTTCGGGGACTCTGTGAATCTCTGGGGAGATTTTAAGAGCTCAGGTGCCATTGACCAGTTGCCAGGTTGGTCTGAGTTGTTACACATTAAACTTGGAGGGACAACAGAGTCCGCATTTCTACTAGGCGGACTAACCCATTCTAGATTCGGCTCGGATATAGTTGAGCTAAACGTATTTTCCTCAACAGGCGGAAGGAAACTAGATTCTGTAGGTGGTGGTAAAAAAGCTGGTTCAGGGGGTAGAAAAGAGGATTCTGTATCCGGTGTATGAAAACCAGATTCAGGGGGCAAATAAGCAGTCTGTGCGGAAGGGAAACTGGATCCCGGATGAAGAACATAACCCTGTTGTTGGGGCATAAAGGAGGGCTCTGAAGGCAAATATTCTGGCTCCTGGGGTAGAAAGCCTGTCTGTTGAGGAATATAGGTGGGCTCCTGGTGCATATAAGGGGATTCCTCAGGCATGAAGTCAGGTTCAGCTGAAAAGCTATTTTCATTTGTGATAAAGTTACTATCGGTTTGTAAGTAGGCTGGTTCCTGTTGCATAAAATTAGGCTCGGGTGGTGAAAAGCTTTGTTCTTGGGATAGAATAGATTCTGTAGCTTGTTGTGCTTCAGCTGAGTCGCATGGCAGGCCAAGATCAGGAGGAATAGCACTTTCTGTAGAAGGCTCAAGCAAGTCATCCCTTTCTAACTGCGGTGATTTTGCCTGAACAGCTAAATAGCCACAATCAGGGGATGGAGCAATACTCGCAACAGCTGCAGGTGTACAAGAAGCATCATCAACTCTTGGAGATGCTGCTCTGTAGTCTGGTGAAAAGTAACCTGGAGACACGCATGTGAATTTCTCTTCAGGAACATGTGGTTGAATCTTGTCATCCATCATCATCATCTGCATTGGTGAACTGAAGCTAGAAGGCGCTGGCACACTATGCTGTCTATATAATCTTGTTTCTGCAGGAGGAAACTCTTCTTCGGGAACTCTTCTTGTGTCAACAGAGACCGAATGGCTTCGGTTTACAGAGCAAGGTAGCCTAGTGGGTGTCTGACTTGGGTTTTCAGTTATTCCACCAGATGTTGCTGAAAACCGGTCAAAGAACGTAGGGGAGCAGGCATTCATAGACATTGCAGAGACAGGTAAAGAATGCTGAGTATCTGAACAGTCAAACATCAAATCTGGGTAGTCGTCGGTGCTACAAGATGGCGTCCTTGGGGTCTGCATTACTTCTTCATAACTGGGGCAAGAGATCACAGGTGTAAGAGTAGGGACACCTGTTGGCCTATTCTGATCTGGTCTTGGAGAAGCTGTCAGCACTTCTTTAATTTGTGGACCATTGAGCCAATCTTTAGAATCATTCCCGGTAATGGCTGGGACTTTATTTTCCGGCGGTGCTGCATTTGATGATAAGTCTTTAGCCTTCTTATCTTTTTGAAGTGAATCAGTTGCTAAAGGCTTCTTGGTAGACAAGTCTAAACTTTTCTTGCGCATCTCCTCTGATTTTAATTTTTCTTTTAACTTCGGATCCCCAGAGCGGTGCCTCATCTTTTCCATTTGCTTCATTCTTTCTTTGTGCTTTTTATGCTTTTCTTCAATTTCCAGATCTTTTTGACTCAGCATCCTTTCGAAACTGGTCATCATTAGATCTCCATCACCGAGAAGTTTCTCTCGAGGCCTGCCGTCTCTCTTGTTGGCATCCTTAAGGGTGACTTTCTCATTACCATTCATGATCTTAATGGTCTCTTTCTCAGAGCTTTCCTTTGTTCTATCTTTGATTTTATTTTCACCAAATCTTACCACCTCTTCTTTAGATTTTTCCTTTAAGGTCAACGGAGAGTCCTTCTCTCTACTCATAGGTTTCTGCTCTTCCCTGTGATGTTTAAAGAAGGCTTCCAAATGTTTATCTCGGTGTTTGTCATCTTTGCTTTTGTCGCGGTGTTTATCTTTCTTTTTCTTTTCTTTTACGACAGATGAGTATACTTTGTCCTTTTCAGATTTCTTCAAAGAGTCTCTTTCAAAATCATGCTTCTCTTTTTCAGAAGCAAACACATAGTCCATGCTTCTATCTAATTCCTCTTCAGTTTCAGTCTTAACCGAAAACGAAGAGAAAGTGTCTCCATCTGTTGCTGAAGTCTCCTTATCATACTGCATGGACTCTCTCCTGCTATAGGTCTCCCTCATATCGTCCAGTTTTTCAGCCTTCTTATCAGACTTATCTTTACGTACTTTATCTTTGTCATGGCTTTTCTTTGAAGAGGAGCTAGAATGCCTATTTCTTTCCTTTTCTTTTAGCTTTTCTGTTAAACCCGCTACTGAATCTTTGAATTTTTCATCTGCCGAGTCTATAGCGGTAACCACCGTGCTTTCCAGCATGTTTCCAAGGCCGGCATCCTGGCCTCGATCTGTAAAACTATCTGAAGAGATTTCACTGATTTTGTCATTGGAATCGTCCTTGTAGTCGTTGAGGGCCTCCTCTTCCAATTTTTCCAGAAGACTCTTTTCAGCTTCGCCTTTAGAGGATTTTCGTTCTTTAAAGTGATCTCTCTCAGATTTCTCCTTGTGTTTGCTTTTGATTTTCTCCTCGCTCTGGTGTTTCTTTTCGCCTTTCTCACCTTGTACCTTTTGTTTAGACTTTTTGTCTTGGTTAGAATCAACAGACGCTCTGTCTTTGCGATATTTGTCGAGAGACTCCTTATCCTTTTTGTGTTTTTCCGTATTCTTTTCTTTCTTCTCCTTTCCCGATTCTGCCTGACCTTTATCTTTTTTCTTCTCTTTTGGTTCCCGATCTTTTTGTTTTTCACCCAGATGTGGTTTTTCATTGGAATTTCTTCGGTGTTTTTCAGACTGGGAAGGTTCCTTCTCTTGTAGAGTATTCTCCCGCTCATAACTGTCCATTCTATGCAGTTCGTTGCCATATACCTCGGAGATTTTGAAAGCTGGCATAAATTGATTATCCTCCTCTTCACTTTCGTCTGTAAATATGTCGGCGATGCTATACCAGTTTTTACTTCTGGACTTCTTGTCATCTCGCTTGTCCCCAAAATCCTTTTCTTTTTTATCAGTTTTTTGCTCTGAGGAGGCTTTTTTCTCTTTGTGTAAATCTTTGTACTTTTCCTCTTTTTTCTTTTGAGACCCTTTCTCTGTTTCTTTTTCTTTCTGACTCCGATCAGGCTTTTCCCTCTCCGAATCTTTTGATTTCTCGCGATGTTTTTCAGATTTAGATTTTTCCTTTTTCTCAGAGTCCCTCCTTTCCTTCCCAGAGTGATGCCTCTCTCGGGTCTCAGAATTCTTGGTATTAAGCTCTTGTTCGGACTTGTCTTTAAAGAAGCTCTCTGTCCCATAGTCATTCAGATCTTCTTTATACAGCTCCTCTTGTTTTATTTTAGAATCCCTACGCTCTTTGTTTCCCAAAGAATCCCTCCTAGTGGAGTCGACATCTTTTTCCTTTCGGGTTTTAGTGGTGTCGAGGGAGTCCTTCCTTTTCTTCTCACGTTCGCCTGTATACAGGGTGGAACCTTTGTGTGCATCTGCCTGATCTTTCTTTTTGTCAGTAGAATCTCGATCTTTCCTTTTTATGACGGTCTCTTTTTCGGATGGTCTTTCTATATAATCTCTCCGGTCTTTGTTCTTGGGGTCTTTTTCCTTGACATCCTCTTTTACAGATTCGATGATCAGCTTGGTGATGGCATCGTTTTTGCTTTCTCTAAAGTCCGTAAATGAGGAGTCCCAGCTATCTTCAGCTTTGAAGTCAAAGGAAGAATCGGAGGACATTTCAGATATCCATAAACCCTGATCATCTGATGAGTTGTATTTTGTTTCATCTTCTAAAAATTTGGTTTTGTTGTTTAATTCTTCAAATGTTGCTTCGTCTTTGTGAGACTTGTCCTTCTTGACCCTCTCTTCTTTGAAACTTTTGTCTTTTTCCGGTTTGGAAGTTTTCTCCTCCTTCAGTTCATTTTTCTTTTCAGATTTCGACGACTTCTCTTTCGTTTTCTTTTTCTTTTCTTCTTTGTGGACTTTTTGTTTTTCTTCTTTGGGGGATTTTTCTTTGACCGTCTTTTCCGTTTTTCCAGAGCGGTCTCGGTCCTCTTTAAAAAGTTTAATGCCGTCTTTGCCATCTTTAGCCTTTTTCGATGACTTCTCTTCTTTGGTAACCTTACTACTCTCATCTTTATAGACCCAGTCTTCCTTTTCGGATTTCACTTTTGAAAGCTTCTCTTCTTTTCGGAGATGCTCGTTTTCATGTTTTAATACTTTTAATTTTTCTGGAATATCGACATCCAAATTTAAAGGCTTCTCTGATTTTTGTTTACAGTCCTCATAGTCGATAGAAAAACTTTTAAGGATTTTCACTTCTTGAGGAGCCTGCACCAGTCCTTTTTCTTTATTTTTGTGTTTAGTTTTGTGTTTTTTCACTACTTTGCCTTCTTTATCTAGTTTGGGAATTGCCCCGTCAACATGATGGAAAGAGTTCTTTTCGTATATGCTGTTATGCATATTACTTTTCTTTTTGTGCTCGTGTTTCTTTTTAACGTGTTTCACAGACTCCACACTGGAATCCTCCGATGAGTAATCGTAATCGCTAGTCAACCGTGTCCGTGTAGAGTCCGATAAGGAGCTAACATCTGACCAGTGAGGGGAAGATACAGTTTTCCAATTGTCCGTTCTCCAGTGTTTGGAGTGCTGGTCAGGGATATTAGCATTGTGCTTCTGTGATGCTAAACTCCCTTGAGACGATGCTGAAGATGCTGAAAGAGAACTAAACAAAGAAGTCTCCTTCAGTGCTAAGGCAGAGTCTTTTACACAGTTTGAATTTTCTAAGGAAAGCATATCATTCTCTACATCACTCTCTAAGTTTTCACTTTCAGATTCAGAGGAACAAAATTTGTTTTTCTTCTCAAACTTTACTTCCTTTGTTTTTGCATCTTTCTTCCGCTTCTTTTTTACTTTACTTTTCTCTTTATGCTTTGCTACAGGCTGCTCCCTGGTTTTATTGCTCGGTAGAACGGTGTGAGCAGACAGGAGGAGCTTTTCAGGGGCCTCTATGGTGATGGAATTGTCCTCCTCGTCTGAAGTATCAGACAAGATACGGCGAGCAGCTTTCTTTGGCGCGGTTGTATTTTTAGAATACGTTTTTACTTCCATTTTAGGAATAGCAATCGAACTGTTAGCTTTAGTCTCTTTCCGGAACTCTTTTTTCAGCAAATGTTTGTCATCGACTGGAGGTACACGATCTTCCTCGTCATCTTCGTCGAACTCGTACTCGTCTTTCACTGGCGTGCTTTTCTGAGGGTTCTGACGTTTGCCCTTGTGTTTAGAGCCCTTCTCAAACTCCGAGTCTGTGTTATTGCCGTCCACTGAGCTGGAAGGTGCAAATGAAGGTGCATCCTCCTCTTCGGAACTTTCTGCAAAGCAAAAGAAACAAATGAATACAGAGATAAAAAACAAACAAAAAAAAAACTTGTAAACTTGCACACACATGCCACATTTACCATGCGCTAGTCAGACCCACACTGTCAACAGTATCCAATCCAATTTTCCTAATTGGTATCTGAAAATTTCAGTCTGACTGGCAGTGTTGGGACATCTCTTATTTAGCAAATGTGGCTCGTATAAATATTAAAGCAATTGGAAGCGTTGCCCAAATAACCAAATTAAGCTTGCGGGTTTAAAATTTAGCGGTTGGAAAACTGCTACATACAATGTTGAAATACATTCATCTACTAACGTTCCCACAAATTTTAAACTCCGTTCAGCTTTATGATTTACACACTGCCCAGCCAAACAATGCTCATATTACCTGCTTTAACAATGCAGATTTCTGTCACATCCCCACCTTCAGCCTGTCCTATGGATAATAAATCAGCATCATAATCACTGTCCAGAAAGCAGTAGTGATACACCAGAAAGCGATCTTCCCAACTAGTATAGGTGTGTGCATCAAAATACTGGCTGTCCGAACTTACAAATCCTTCAACCGTGTTACTCAACCCCTTGCTAGATTTTTACTATAGCTATACAGAGAAAACAGAATTGTCTGGTTAGAATCACTACTACAAGATAAAGACATGTTGTGCCAGTAAGGAAAAGACCAAATCCACCTATTATAAAGCCTCCAGAATCATATGGATTTCATTTAACATGGGTAGCTTAGTAATGTTCAAACACTGACCCCATCGCGACCACTGACTTGCGTAGTACATCAATGGTAGCAGGCCTGTTTACACAGACTTCCAGCGGCTGTCTTCAATCATAAAGCCGGCAGCCTGCTTCACAACTGAAGTGATTCTGGCGGCTCAGCTTCCACCAGATTGCTACTATGGGCTGGTAAATTATCCCAACCCTCCTACCGTGTTTCCCGGGCTCCACTGCTCCTCCTGCTGGCATGGGTCTGGCATGTCGGGTGCCGGGAGGAGAGCAGCAAGGGCCAAGACTTGCGTGTATCCCTAAACTGATGACCTGTAGGTGCTCTTAAGTGTCTATGGACTTTTTGGGGCACAAAATTGTCACCGTTTCACAGGCACACAGTTTTTAACCCGGGCATGTTGGGTATCTATTTACTTGTCCCAACCTCATCCTTTATACTTTGCAAAAGAAATGGGTATTTTATTGTGTTTTGGGGTACTAAAATAAAGTTAAATTGATTTTTCACAAAATTTTTGGGTTTGATAACAAGTTGCACTAATGGCGTGCAACATAAACATTTGCAACTGCCCTTGTTTTATTCTACAGGGTCTTGGCTTTACAGAAAATCTATGTTTTGGGTTTTTTTAATTTTGTAGGCCTAAAAATGTGTATATCATGTGTGCAAAAAAACAATAAGCAATAGGGTCCTTATGGGGTTAAAGAACACTTTTTTGCATCTCGATTCCACTTACCAGTTGAGCTTTCTTCACTAGAGGTGTAGGTACCCTTGCCCAGGAGAAGATTAACCATGGTTGGAGAATTTGCAACTTTTAAAGGGGTTTCTCCCTTCCGATTACTTTGATGAGGATTGCCTCCATACCGCAACAGTAGTTTCACGACCTGGAATGTAAGCACAGTTATGAGACCACACATCCAGGAATCTTTATTTTTGGTTACTTTGATGAAAACATTTGCATTTCCTAAACTTTGATGCAAGACCTCCATGAAACACATGCCATTGGTAGAAAAACATTTGCAGGGTTATTCACGGAAGGGTGAAGAGTTTGGAGAAGGCGGGAGAAGTGAACAATCTAGGCCAAAATAGCAGATTTGGAAAAATTCTCCAATTCAGCTCACTGTAGTTCAGCTATGTTGTCCTAGATTGTACACTTCTCCGGCCTTCTCCAAACTCTCCACCCTTTTGTAAAAATCCCTATTAAAACATAAAAAGAGTTCAATGCAAGACAAGTGACAACTTCTATAAGTGAAGAAATCCAGTCTAGTTAAAAAGCAAAAGGTTTTAAAAACAGGGGTAGTTGGCTTTGCTAAATATAACCAGAATATAACTGATACTTGCTTCCACTACAAGGAGATGCTCCACAGAACCAGACAGAGAAGGGGGAAGGAAAAGAGAAGGGAGGAAGTGAAAGAGTGAGGAAAAGTGCACAATTGAGAGCAAACCATTTTTTGGGATGTCGACACTGTTTTCTGCATTTGATGTGCGCTTGGAACACAGATCAGCAAAATCCTACTGACTTTAAGGTAGCAGTACATGATAGTTTAGAGCAGGGGTACGTGAACTCTGGCCGTCCATTAGGCAATGCAAGACTGACAACCACAGGCATTACTGCCAGAGGAATATGTAGGATTGGATTTGTAGTTTCATCACAGCCGAAGGGCCAGAGTTTGCGTGCCCTTTTTGACTGTTTTTGGCTGTTTATTTGGATACATGTTCTATTGTGGAATGTTTGAACTGCAGACAAAGCAGGTCAAAATGCAACCTTTTCTTTTCAAATACTGCATTTTCCTCAAACACGGTCGCATGCATTTGAATGGAAAATGCAGTGTTTGACAAGAAACCCAAGGGCATTGTCCCAACCTCATCCTTTATACTTTGCAAAAGAAATGGGTATTTTATTGTGTTTTGGGGTACTAAAATAAAGTTAAATTGATTTTTCACAAAATTTTTGGGTTTGATAACAAGTTGCACTAATGGCGTGCAACATAAACATTTGCAACTGCCCTTGTTTTATTCTACAGGGTCTTGGCTTTACAGAAAATCTATGTTTTGGGTTTTTTTAATTTTGTAGGCCTAAAAATGTGTATATCATGTGTGCAAAAAAACAATAAGCAATAGGGTCCTTATGGGGTTAAAGAACACTTTTTTGCATCTCGATTCCACTTACCAGTTGAGCTTTCTTCACTAGAGGTGTAGGTACCCTTGCCCAGGAGAAGATTAACCATGGTTGGAGAATTTGCAACTTTTAAAGGGGTTTCTCCCTTCCGATTACTTTGATGAGGATTGCCTCCATACCGCAACAGTAGTTTCACGACCTGGAATGTAAGCACAGTTATGAGACCACACATCCAGGAATCTTTATTTTTGGTTACTTTGATGAAAACATTTGCATTTCCTAAACTTTGATGCAAGACCTCCATGAAACACATGCCATTGGTAGAAAAACATTTGCAGGGTTATTCACGGAAGGGTGAAGAGTTTGGAGAAGGCGGGAGAAGTGAACAATCTAGGCCAAAATAGCAGATTTGGAAAAATTCTCCAATTCAGCTCACTGTAGTTCAGCTATGTTGTCCTAGATTGTACACTTCTCCGGCCTTCTCCAAACTCTCCACCCTTTTGTAAAAATCCCTATTAAAACATAAAAAGAGTTCAATGCAAGACAAGTGACAACTTCTATAAGTGAAGAAATCCAGTCTAGTTAAAAAGCAAAAGGTTTTAAAAACAGGGGTAGTTGGCTTTGCTAAATATAACCAGAATATAACTGATACTTGCTTCCACTACAAGGAGATGCTCCACAGAACCAGACAGAGAAGGGGGAAGGAAAAGAGAAGGGAGGAAGTGAAAGAGTGAGGAAAAGTGCACAATTGAGAGCAAACCATTTTTTGGGATGTCGACACTGTTTTCTGCATTTGATGTGCGCTTGGAACACAGATCAGCAAAATCCTACTGACTTTAAGGTAGCAGTACATGATAGTTTAGAGCAGGGGTACGTGAACTCTGGCCGTCCATTAGGCAATGCAAGACTGACAACCACAGGCATTACTGCCAGAGGAATATGTAGGATTGGATTTGTAGTTTCATCACAGCCGAAGGGCCAGAGTTTGCGTGCCCTTTTTGACTGTTTTTGGCTGTTTATTTGGATACATGTTCTATTGTGGAATGTTTGAACTGCAGACAAAGCAGGTCAAAATGCAACCTTTTCTTTTCAAATACTGCATTTTCCTCAAACACGGTCGCATGCATTTGAATGGAAAATGCAGTGTTTGACAAGAAACCCAAGGGCCTGTGTTGATGGCCTTTTGTTCACATCACACAGGTTTTGTATTCCCATACAAGCCGGTGAAAGAGCAAAACCCCCATTTTCAGGTCGTCTGCACCTGACAATGAATTTTAAATGATATCAGAAGTATCGCAAACTGATGTCACATGGATTCCATCGACAAGCCTAAAGACTGCTCACATGGGCTCCAAGTCTATTCCAGTACCCACACGTGAACTGCTTGAAATCATTTTTGATACTGCTGGACGGTCCATTTCTAAAGTTAAACATTAAATGTTCTTACGAAAAAGGAACACAAAGGGCGCAAAGACAATGGAGCACTAGCTAACTTGGCAGACGGTGGTAGGAAAATAACTGTATAAAGCACTTACATGTAGATCCTGGGACCAGGGGATGGACGGCCTGTGTGGAGGATCGGGACACCCGAGGCATGTGCCCGAATCTGGCTGGTGTACTGCCTGGAGACGTTCGTCCAAAAAAGGGAGGGAAGGCTGTGAGCGAGGAGAGGGGAAGCAGAGCGGGGACTCAGTCCGTGACATGGCTATGTGAATGCGGGATCTGAGCGGTGTGAGGGAGACTCGGCGGTGTCGGGTGCAGGCTGAGCTGCTGCGGCTGTGGATGTCAGTACTCGGTCTCTGTCTGATCAGAGTGCGGGAGCCGGTATATAGAAATGTCGACAGGCAGTCAGATCTGTGATGGGATGGGATAGGATCTGACCGCCTGTCGACATTTCTATATACCGGCTCCCTGCCAGATTCGGGCACACACCACGGGTGTCCCGATCCTCCACACAGGCCGTCCATCCTCTGGTCCCAGGATCTACATGTAAGTGCTTATACAGTTATTTTCCTACCACGGTCTGCCAAGTTAACTAGTGCTCCATTGTCTTTGCACCCTTTGTCGTTTTACATTCACAGGTTCTCCTCCTGTTCCCCAGGGCTGCATGCTTTTTAGTTAGCCTTCTGTTCTCAGGGCCCCCATCCGAGAGCGCTGTTTATGTCTTTTTGTTTTTTTATTAAATGTTCTTAGCCAATATTTACATTGCTTCTAAAGCTGCTACATGGCAATAAGTAAAATGTGAAGTCTTGACTGGCAATTACCACTTACAGCTTTACACTATTATCCTCGTCTGAATTGTATATCGGTATATTGGTCCTATAAGGAAAACTTCCACTGTAATAGTGTGTTTCTCTTACATTGATGAACATATGCAAATCTTCTGTATAGAAAAAGATAACATTTGCTGTGTATATTCCTTTATGCTGTTACAAATGTAGATGAAAATAAGCAGAGGGGCTTAGGCTGTAAGGAAAGCCAGATGCAATTTGTTTTGAATCTCGGGACAGATCTCTATGGATACATCTACATTTTACAAGCACTTGCCTTAAAGTGACCGTTGTTGGATGCATCATGCAGGGGGGTGTCATCATCCAAGCCCTTGGTGTTGACCTCTGCTCCGGCAGCCAGGAGCTGTTTTCCCACATCATAGTAACCTCTATTACATGCCTCGTGCAAGGCCGTCCAACCTGCAAACATAACAGGGGGGGAAGAAGAGGGTTGCACCATGTAAGTGCCAGTTACACAAACCATTGTAAACAGATAATTTACTGCAAACCGACTAAACACGGCTTTTACCATGACCAGATGAAGAATCAGCTGCACATTATCAACAGCACAAGCTGCGCTCTAAAGCCTGTAATGGAAGGTCACGGCCTCCATCATACGTCACAGACAACTGGCCACAGCATCCATTAGAAGCATTATACTAAGGAGGAAAGCAAAGCAATGATGTGAATGCTCCATCTCAAAATACCTGCCTGATGAAACCTCCATCACACCAGCACAGTGACTGACTTCATACAAACTTCAGCTTAAAGGAACATTCCAGGAGCAAATATAAGTTAATAGCTAGGCTGAGAAGCCATGTCCATCGAGTTCACAAAATAAAACCTTTCCCCTTGCACAGCAGACCCCCTTCCATTTTCACTGGCTATACCCTAATGGAGTGATTTCAGAATGTCCTTTAATAGTACCTCATGTCTAGGTCACAGAAGGAAATGCTGTCAGGCACGTATGTCTACCAGTAAAACCTTTTCTTCACAGTCTGGATCACTGCTGCTTACTATAAATTCATATAATGATTGAAGCTGGACAACTCCTCACAGCACTTGATTTCCAGATGTGGCTGTGACAGTGAACACATCCAGTCACATACCGGCTCCCTCCTCCATTTAAAAAAAGCCTTGTTTCACAGAATGGAGGAGGGGAGATTCAGTAATATATCCACCCGTCCATTCACAGAATTGCCTTGTACTTGAGACAGTCAGTTACCTGCAAAATCTTTAACGTTGACATCTGCTCCCTCGTTAATCAGTTCCTTGATACGTCGTGCATCGCCTCTTATGGCTGCCCGATGAAGACGAGTCTCCCCCCGCTCATTCCGCTTGTTAACTTTGTCTTTGGTTTTGGAGGCGGAGTTAGGAGTCCCCTTCTGACCAACTGCAGATTGAGAAGGATGCTTTGGTGTCGTGTCAACTAGAAAACAAATGTAGGGCGACATTGAGTAATTGCTGCATAAAGTTTTCCTCTCATACTTTGCAAACGTCTACAGTTCCAAATTCCTTCCAAGATCAATACGGGAAGAATCACCAACACAAGTGTTCCCTGCCGAGAACAAGCCAAGCTGCAGGTACCTGCACACCAGAGGTTCTTCTGTACACAACGTTCTGTTCTCCAGCATACAGTAACCAGCCTCCCGATTGGTGGTCTGGTCCACCCCCATCAACCTCCTGTGTCCATTCACTAGCAACTATCACTGACCCCCAAACAGTGATGAGCCAGTCCAGAGATAGCAGCCAGGAAGCCGATCATTGTATGCGAGAAAAGCAAATATTTAGGGATTTCAGGGTGCTGAATAGAACTGCAAGATCCAGACCTCTGGCACGATTCACAAACTGCAGATGCGTGCCAAGAGTCTTTGGGTACCTGCTGGCACTGTGCCATTATATATATATGCAATATATAGCACAGTGAACACATAAATTTTAAAGACCAATTCAATAAAACCCATCGCTCTTTAAATCTAGTGTGCCATCTTTAACTCACTAATTTTTCATGACTTCCAGCTTTCTGGAAGTAATAAACTGCTCTTGCAGGGATATTGTAAATAATTAAGTTGGCAAAATAAAAGCAGATTTTGATCTGTGACAGACGTATGACAAACCCTTCAGTCTATCAGGAAAGCTGCTGCCAGACTTATCCACCTTACCAACAGCTATTGTCTGCCGCCCCTCTCCACCAATCCCTCCACTGGCTTCCAATCACACAAAGGATAAAATTCAAAATATTATCAACCACTTACAAAGCCATCCACAACTCTGCCCCCCTCTATATCTCCAACCTTGTCGCAAAGCATCCTCCTAATCGTACCTCCCAAGACCTCCTGCTTTCCAGCTCCCTCATCCACTCCTCCCATGCTAGCCTCCAGGACTTCTTTAGAGTCAGTCCCAATATCTATATATCCATATATCCATGTGTGTGCATTACCTGGGCTGTTTGCAGATTCTTCTGCTGTCATCTGCATAAGTAGGGCGACCTGCTGTCTCTCTGATAAAGGGTACCCGGCCCGCATTCCTGAAAGTCCGATGCCAAAAGGTAAACTAGACTTCCGGTTGGCAGGCTCTTTCTTGATTCGTTTCCTTTCAGGGCCCTGTTTTTCTGCAAGAGACAAAGCGGCATCATTAACAACGGCTTTCAGACAAGCACAGCTTCCATGCACGAGATAAGATCACACTTCCTCAAACTTAAAGACGAAGATACATTTCTGCTTTTAGAATCCATTATTAATCCACACGGACATGCAGTGTGAACACAGATTGTTGATCCAACGATCGAGAATACATTTTCCAGAGAAAACTGCCAGCGCTGACGCACGACTAGAAACGAAACCGCATTACTTTAGAAGAGGCACCGGGGTGAAAACCTGACCAGAAAATTTGTACCAAAAGTCTTCAATCGATTGTTCTGAAACAAATACCTGAATATATGAAAGCAGGACCGTGCATTAGGGAAAGTCAATGGTGACAACTGACCGTCATTGGAGTTTCAGCACCAAAATGGAGAACAACCATCAAGCTGAACACCTATAAGCTGGCCATACATCCCTGGCCCAATTCTGAATTGTAATCAGACAGCTGTCATGGCTAGTGACTACAAGTGATTGGCTGAGAATTTTCGGATTCGCTCCTTAGGTAAAAGATTGAAAAATGGACATCTGTTGAAAGGAGGGGTCCCAACAGAGACGCACACACAGCGCATACTTTGGCCGAGTCAGCAGGATGAAATTTAAGCAATATATAGCCAGCTTTAATGAACGCACCTCTCGATCAAACCCTCTTTCTATAATTTATCAGTAACCTGTACAAAACATAACTGTTGTCAGGTAAATAAAACTGGCCTCAAAGCTTCCCCTGCAGAAATTACTACCTCCACTGCTGCCTGAAAGTGTTGATACTCTGTGCTGATACTCCCCCTCTGGCAGTGGTTCTTCCCTTCAATCTCCACGTGGCTACTATGTTCTGTAGATGTCAGCAGGAGG